ATATAGCCCTAGAATACTTCAACCTCGAAGCCAGGAGGACTTGGCCAAGACCGGCATTCCATTCCATGCGGGGCTCTGGGGCCTGGCGCGGTCTGCGAGGCCGGGCGCTCAAGGTGAGCGACAGCAGCTACCCGAGCGCCCCACTTGGAAAGTTTCTAGCCGCTAGAAACCTTCCAAGTGGGGTCGGGTGGCTGTCGCCCAAAGCCCAAAGAATCTAGCTGGCTGAAGTTCGGCCCTGGAATGAAGCAAGTCAACCAACAACACAAAACAAAGGCAAGCAACCGCACCACAGCGACAGACCAGCCAAGAAGCCCATACCCAAACCAGCGAGCCGAGATCCAAAAGAAGTCACGGATTTTTTTGAAGAGCCTCTGAAAGGCTCGAAGTACAATAACTGCATGGAGTCCATGGCCTATTCCGAGCTTGTGGCTATGCCCATGCTCTCTCTTTTCCCATGTCCCATTGTTGCCCAGATATTAAATGCTCAAAGATGCAAGCACAGGGGGGGGGACGTTCTTAAAATAGGATTGATGCTCCCAGTATGATCGGCTATTGTCTGGATTATGGTTGGATTGCTATGGTTGGTCATTACGATCAAGCGCTGTACTCCGATTTAGATGCATTCTAGTTTGGCTGGACAGATGTGCAAGGAAGCGACAACTGCTTTCCTGAAATTTGTGGGACCTGCTTCTACTGACGTTGGAGTCGCTCGAGGCGAGAGCAGCATGGCCATGTGGGTTGCATTGACGCGGGCAGCCCCAGCATTTGGGCACTGAGCGCTGGGCAAGGTGACCCGAAACGCTGCTTTGTTTGAGTCTCTTTTTTTTGGGGGGGGGTTCAATCGTGCAGATCATGTTCCTTAAAACTGGGAGGCCTCTGGTTGGCGTGTTGGTTTGTCTGTGAAGGCCGCCAACAAAGGTGCCTAAACTTGGGACGCGTTGATGAAGCTCCTTGAAAGCTGGAGATCCCAGCCAGAATGCATGGTACTTGTTGTAGAGTGTTGTCATTGACCTCCCCTCCCACCACATGGAACGTCAAGAGGTCCCTCCGAACTCAGCGAATCATGGCACTCTCAGGCTTTGCTTTGCTGCCTGAATTCGTCTTCCCGTTCCGCAATTCACTGCACTCCAAACCAAGGGTTTGTCTTCGATCATGCACTCGCCGTGCGAGTGAAGGTCACGACGCACGTTGGAAAATCCCGTGGCATTGGTCCATGCAAAAGCTGCTCCAGAATCCAGGCTTGCAGTGGGCTGCGTTTTCAGCTCATGTTGACGGATCAGTAAACCTAGCAGATTCATCGGGCAATGTTAGCCTATATAATTTCCCTGGAGTTTCTCTCGTAAGTAAATGCAGCATTGAAGCATCATTCACATAGCGCGGGTACCGACAACATGTGCAGTACCATGCTTTTGGCCCAATGCTCTCTAACCCGGGAAAGCCTCATGTTAGTCAGCCAGGCGGTTAGCTAACCCGTCTCTTTTTTGTTTATGGCACTGGAGATTGTTTGTGGACACGGGTTGGCCCAACCTGCCAGGGAGCATTTCGCGCAGAACAGCCGGGCTTGAACCTTGGAACTCCATGTAAATGTCGAGTCAAGGGCAGACTAGAAGCATGGAATCGGGGTCGGGGACCCATGTCTCTTCTCTCCCTGGTCAAGCCCTTGTCCGGACATTTCTCACTGGAGGTGGGCTTGAGCGGCGGGGCTGCCGCCATTTGGCGGCGTTTGCAGGAAGCCTCGCAGGAGAGCGGGATGAGGAATCCAGCGGGCGGCTTCATATCTGGGCATGCTGTTGGGGGGACGAAGCTGCTTTGGGTGGCAAGCAACAGCCATCTGAGGGATACTCAGTTTGAGACAAAGCCTTTTTTGTTTCCAAGCATGTTCCCCGAAAGATGAAACATTGTGCTTTTCTTGCGGTGTTTTTAAAGCCACCTTCCAAAAAGGGCTCCCTTCCCTGGGGTTCCTGTGGCTATGTTTTACGTGGTCGATAGGTTCGCCGCTGTATATCATGGTCAAGGGGGATTGATCATTTTTCCCGCCAGGTGCAGCATTAGCAGGATCTTGAAACTTAATTAAGGTGATTGCAGGACCACGGGTGCTTTGCAACACTAGCCCTTGGAATATTATAATTGGGTCACCATCTAAATCGATTGTGGAACAGTCGAGTTGGATCAACTCTAGCCCTTCCCAGGGCGTCCATTAGCTTTGCAGACTATAGGGGTGAGGGTGTGTGGAGAGGGCGAGGGTGCATATTTATACGCAGGCGATGGGCTTCACTAGCTCCTTTTGGGAATCTGGGAACATCACATGTTTTGAAAGGAATCAGTATATTAATATATATATATATATATATTACATAGGCAACACACGCCCCATAAATTCCATCCATCCAGGAATACGCATACTTAGACCTTCCGAAGGTACAGTTTTTTTTGCCGATTGGTTTTTGAGCTCATTGTTTCGCTGATTCAGAGAAATGACGCTGATTCAAGCAATACTGCCAATTCAAGCAAGAATCGCCGATTGGGAAATAATAGCTGCTCAGCCCAGGCGAATTTGCGTTGCACATTCACGGCTCTTATCCTGTGTGCTCTATCAATGTCTAGACTCTGCAGCGCACACCTACCGTGTAACACAATATTGTTTGCCATACTTGGGCCACGCTAGGGGCCCCATGTTCGACAAAGCTGACTCGAGGCGCTTGAGCATCGACCGCACAATTGGTTAAATGCACGCCTGGAATGCAAACCCTGCAGCTGCAGCGGGCCATAGACGCAGTGGCAGTTCACCATACCATGCAAACAGGGCTCCAGATCAAAGGCAGCAATAAAACATTATGCAACACACATCCAGCGCAAAACTATAAAATGCTGCAGTTTGGGCCCAGTTCAAGCCGTGAGCCCTGCCTTGCACTATCACTTATGATGCAAAGTCCATTGCACAAGCTCCATGTCCAAAGATGCCTTGCAGCTCGTGGGCGGAACATCGTTCTTTGCTGCATGGTTTAACTTAGATTTCCAAATCAGAAACCTTGACATATCAGATAAGGCCCATCCTCAAAAAGCGGGCACCGACGCCTTCAAATATGGGTCCGGAACAGATCGCTGGTTGGCCGGAAAAGACAACAGGCAAGAGTGAAAATGGCGTCTTACTTGAAGATTAGTGAAGCATTGCATGGTTTTTGTCAGGCAAGTTGAAATCAAAGCAATGCCAGCAGCCAATTGCGCCTGCCTGGCCGATCGAACCCTGTCCGATGCTTGTCTCTTGAAGCTGAGAGTATCTCCAAATTGGGGAGTGTGTTGCGCAAAAGACTTGTGGCACGAGGCAACATGGATTGCAAACATGTACTGTGGCGCTTGGCGCTCTTGCGGAGCAAGTGTCTGCCTGACGCGAGCTATAAGTCCAACGCAAATTCACGAAAAGTGCCCACAAAGAGCGAATTGAAAGCAGCGGTGCCAAAAGCCAAAGTTCGATGACACGTTGGCAAGCAATCAAAATGCCGCTCGCCCTCGAACTCTGTCGATTCACAAAATGAAACAGCCAAAATTTGACCCTCCCGCCGAAATCTCCAGGTGTACGAAAAGGGCAAAGGCTTGTTGACAGTATGGAGAGGGCGAGGGTGCAAATGTATGTTGACTGGTTTTGTGCAACTGGTTTCGCAACCAGTATTGGATGCTGGTGCCAAAATAGATCAACCAATCACCTGTTCTTGGGCCAAGTAGCGTGAATATGAAACCGGCATGCCGAACAGGTGCTAAAAGTGTTAGCTGATCGATGGGTTCATGAGCAAACAATAATTTGGATTGGTTTTCCAGCTAGCAGTACTAGGTGGCTAGACAATGTAGCGAGAACAGGGCCTTTCGCAAAGCAAGCGCCAAGCTCAAGAGCCTTTCCATATCAATTTTGCTTTGTCAGACGCGTCTGACTTGAAGTTTGACATGGTGTGCGTACAGTGACAGGCCCTCAAAATGACTTCAAACAGGCTGGTGTGGGAAATGTAGGGGAGGAAGGGGGAGGGGGACATTGTGAAATCACGCCAATTGTCCGTGAAATCGCGCCCATTGTCCGTGAAATTACGCCCATTGTCCGTGAAATCCGCCCATTGTCCGTGAAATCACGGAATCTACAAAAACACATTTTTCAGCGTTGAACTAAGTGAGTGCCCCCCCGACCGTCAGGCGACTGACGCCTTTGAGGCTTGCGCGCAGCTTCATGATACCCGGAGATTTCGGGGTGAATGTGTGGCTGTTTCACGAAAGACATGTGTGTTTTTTGTGAATCGACTGAGTTTGAGGGCGAGCGGCATTTTTGTTGCTTGCAACGTGTCATCAAACTGTGCGGCTTTTGGCACCGCTGCTTTCAATTCGCTCTTTGTGGGCACTTTTCCTGAATTTGCGTTGAACTTATAGCTCGCGTCAGGCAGCCACTTGTTCCGCAAAAGAGCGCCGCCAAGTGCCACAGTACATGTTTGCAATCCATGTTGCCTCGTGCCACAAATCTTTTGCGCAACACACTCCCCAATTTGGAGATACGCTCAGCTTCAAGGGAGCACTACGCAGCATGCACGACAAGCATCGGACAGGGTTCGATCGGCCAGGCAGGCACAATTGGCTGCTGGCATTGCTGGGATTTCCACATGCCTGACAAAACCCATGCGATGCTTCACTAATCTTCAAGTAAGAAGCCATTTTCGCTTTTGCCTGTTGAACATCCTGTGTGAACCGACCTTCTTTGCAATAAATGTCGTTGGCTGCTTGCAAACCCAGGGTTTCGAAAGATTTTTTGATCAACAACTTGTCGGTCGCGGAAATATTGGATCTCAAGGCCCGCTTCCAAGTAAGTAGACTTCACATCGAAGTCTGAGCCCGAAGCACTGCGTGCCACCTTCAGGAAACGCAGAATTCAAGGGCTGCAAAGCTCGCTTGCATATTCTGAAAATTTACAAAGTGAGGGTTTGCCAGGGTGCGCTAAGCACCCAACTGCAACAACACTGAAAAGTGCGAGGGTGTAAGAAATGTTTAAACCCATGTTAATGGAGATATCGGATAATTTGGGTGCTAAACAGGGCTAAGAGTGACTTCATGACGGCCCTTTCTTGCGCGCTCTTTAGTTTCAAGCGAGACCATCCCAAACCATCCGCTTGACCCCAAAAACGACCAAAGTCCTGACCATGGAAAAATCACGGCGATGCTAGGAAAAAAAGGGCGACGGTGTATGGAGGGGTCGATCCAGAATAATGGAGACAAATAAACACATGGCCTTGGATCAACATCTAAGTTCGTAAGGACCCTTCGTGCTTGCATCTTGGTGACCACCATGGATCTAACCATCATTGCGCAACAATACGTAAAAAGGCCCGAAAATGATGAATGTCCTGCTAAAAGTAGCCGGTGCAAAAATAAGTGCGTAGACGACAAAAAAGAGACAAATATGTGAGGAGAGGACGACTGTGTATAACGGAGACGAGGGAAGCCCAGGGCTTGTATGGTAATCCTTCCGTTGGAGGGATAGCAGCAGTCTCGGTGCTGGCCTACAGCCAACCCGTTCTGATTGGCAATCTTGCCAGCTCATGCCTGGCGCGCCCAACATGGGAAGCATGATTCCTTTATCAGTGGCTCGCTCAGAAATTGAATCACCCCCAGGACCCCCAGAGAAAATGTAAGTTCCAAGTATGTTTGGCTGCGAGGTTCACTCGGTAACTAGTTTGACGGTTCCTCACGAGCGTGAGCCCTGATCGACGGCTTATGCCGCTGAAGTGGCTGGATCAGAGGGTTGGGAAGAGGTACCTTGTGTCAGTGGCGCTAGTATTTTGTGTGTTTTTGCCAGAGTTGTTTTGATCAGACCTGAGACAGGCATGGTTTGGAAGAGGATTTGTTGTTGCTTGCTATTGACTAGTGAACGGCATGGTGACAGCTGCAAAAGCTTGATGGGTGTGGCACCTTGTTTGTTACGATGTGTTCAAGATCGGTGGGGGAATTTAGTTGCAGTGGCCGCTGCGTGGACCCCAACAAGGGAGTCCAACGACTTCACCGACAAAGGCGGTGTCTTCGGAGTCCTGCATGTTGCCCTCCCGGTTCTTGGTAAATGAATGACCACCATGTCTCACTGATAACATCATCAGCTGACAAATTACCGGCAATCAGCATGTTGAGAACGGCACTGCTCCAAAGCTCGTGGTATCCGTGCGGTCGCATCGGTGCGCCTCAGGAGGGCGAGGAAAGGGAGCTCCTGGTACAGCCGTCCTTCTTGGGCGGTGAGGAGCTTTCAGGGCAGCTCTGCCAGGATTTGCGTTGGAAAACCAAGGACCCTCCCTTGAAGAGTCAGCAGTGAAGGGGAGGCTTCTGGCCAATCTGGCTTAGATATTTTTTTGGAGTCGGGTTCTACACCTTTCGGTGATTCCTTTAGTTTCCCCAAAGGTGTCAAGGCCTTCTGCAAGGAAAACTCCAACGTCAATCCCAGGAGCCATGTCATGACAGGAAGTCTGAAGCCTCGAAGCAACTCAAGTCCCGTGCGACACCGTCTCATGGCCTTGAGGCTCGGTGTTCCAGTTCTCCTCTCAGGCATGAAATGTCTTCACGGTCCGTGGCAAGGTGTTTTTTTTTCTCGGAAAATGGGCTGCTGGCTTTTTGTCCCCTTTTCAACTTTCCCAGAATTTGGAAGAGATGACCCCACACCAAGTAAACTCCTCTGGAAGCCACAACTGTCGGCCGATGGAAACCTTTTGAGGCCACTCCAGCAAGCACCTAGTCGCAGCGTCTTGACCATTTGTGGTCTGGCGGTTGTCGGATGCCCTGGCCCTTGCTGTGGATCCGCAGCAAGCACATTTTGCAGGAGTCCGACAGCGACGAAGTCGAGCGCCATGTGGCGCGGCTGGAGCAAACCTCTGCCAAGGTGGGGTATTTCTCACACCTGGACATTTCGATGCCGAGGAATTCCTACTAGGCGTTCTGGTTCTCGAGGCGATTTGGGTGTTTTATGTGTTTTGCGTTATTTTGCGCTTTTTTGCGGGCGTTTGCCCCTTTTGTGCGGGCGTTTTGCGGCAATTTGCGGGCGTTTTCTGTTTCTAGGCGTTTGCGGTACTTTGCGAGCGTTTGCGTCCAAAACAGGGTCAATGCCGATAATTACTAGGAATTCCTTGACGTTTGAATCTCCAGGCAGTCAAAAATCAAGCCAGTACATGAAGCGCTTGGATGTGTCTGTGTGTGTGTGTGTCATGTGTGTGTGTTGTGTTGTGTTTGCGTTCGTAACTGTCTTTTGTCGAGGCGTGTTTGCGTGGGTCTCAACATGACATTGGCAAACATGATTCACTGTAATGTGTGCTATATAGATCTTTGACATTGTGTTGCTCATTCATCGGAGTGGGCTACGTGAAAGCCAGTCATCTTCTCTCGTCCTGCCGAATTGAGGCTCGTGGGGTGTGGCCCCCGCCGGTCTTCCCGAGCCACAGCTGGTACGTCATCAGCGCCGGCCTTGTGCAAACCTTTTGGACGTTCAGCCTGCTTAGGATGTATACATATATATATATATATTCACTAACATGGAATCTGATTGGGGGTCCTGCAAAACCAGTGTTCTCTGAAAGGAGTTCCATGTTAGAGAACAGGAGGGTAGAAGTTATGCAACCATGGTTGTACGCTGGGCAAGAAGGTTGGCAACAGCCGAAACGACTGAACATAAGTGCGAGATGCCACCACTGCATCAACAGGATTCATTCTGGGTCGGCGAACAAATGATGCCGCGAAGCATATTTCATTTCAAGATGAGCCTTTTGGCACGTGCAGCTGGTTGCCTGATGTCAAGTGTATCTGGAAGTTAGAGGAACAGCTCCTTTTCAGACGGATGAACCTATGACCAAGAGTGGACATGCGGCCTTCAGAAACGGACCGCTCTACAAGCAATTTGAGGCTGCGCTATGGCCAGATGGTGGAACGAGCTCACCTATGAAGGTCCCTTTGGGGATTCCTGACTTCTGTTTGGCGCATTCCTGTAAGTTCGGTTCTGCGTTAGCTTCAGGGATTGTGCAGGTACGGTGGATGTACGGGAATGCGGCCAGCCCTGTGATTTGCGGTAATTTTCTCTGCATTTACTGCAAATTGCTAGGATTTTGTGGTTAGATGTGCTTGGATGTGTTTGATTCACTTGCAATGCTAGGGAATCAAGCCGAGCTCGACGTTCGCTCGCTGAGGCGGCGGTTCTGGTGGCCTGGGCATCGCCACCGCTGGGTGGCTGGTGATGCAGGCCGCACGGCTGTGTCCGCGTCCGGCTGAGGCCTAGTCGCCCACCATATCAGCTTCGCACCAGTTTGGTGCGGGGGTTATCTCATATTGGGCTTCGGCCATCCCGCCTGCGTTGTTCATATCTTGCTTTCCCGCTTCCTAGACTTCATTCTTTGTGGGAAGACCATTTTAGTGGCAAACAGCAAGTCTTGAGCCTGTCCACCTAAGAAGCTAGCAATTGGTAGTCTACTGTTGCTTTGGGGAGGATGAGAAGCTACAGAGGAACAACCAAACTTGTCCAAGTGTTTCTGGGGAACATAAGTAAAGTATTGTTTGTGGCTTGTGTGCCTCTCACTGAAATGTCTGGTGTCCTCTCAATTCCCTTCCAACCTGCCTCATGTTTGAACACTCCCAGTCTTATGTGTTGGTTCATTTATGCAAGCTGCGGCCCATGGAACTATGATAAGAGGGTCCCGCCATGTTGGCGCCCGTATCAGAATGTGATTTGCATTTTCCCCGATGTCCAAAGCGGGGCGTGATGTTTGAAGCCGAAATATTGTATTCGAATCGCCTGGGGCTTGGTGGGAGCCGTTATGCGCAGAATATAGCCCTATCGGAGGGGGAAGGGATGCGAGGCACAAGAGCCAAACCGAACATCAAGCATAAACGATTGCGATTGTCTCCCGTCGTTGCTAGGGAAGGTCAGTCAGGATTCCACACGTTTGGCCGCCGAAATTCAGTTTTCTTGGAGCCCGCGAACATGTCACTTGGGCCCAAAAGGTGCTTCGCGCCGACCAAAGCTACGCCCCTGTTTGGGTCAAAATCAAGGTCGGCTCCCCTTTGATGGTTCATGTTGACCTTGAATCCCCAAAGCACCCCATCACATCTCTCATTTTGATCTTGCAGACTTAGTTCGAGAAGCCTTCATGCACTGAGTAGAGCTTGCTTGTGACTGCAAGGCCTCGGATTGGCCTCTCTCGGTCTTCAGCAGAACCACGGATTTGCGAGTCTTTGTAATCGAGGAAAGGGAGGCATAGACGCTGTGATCACTGTGGCTTTTTGAAGGCGGGGCTGAAGACGCCGCCTTTGTGCAGTGCTGGGGCTCGAGACTGTGGACTAAAGGTCTCTGGCCCTCAGCACTGGCCATGGCGACGATACATGTGACCTGCGGTGAAAGACGATGCGGAAGCTTGGCGCAAAAAAACTCTGCGGGTTTGCGAACACAGGCGTTTTGTATGCCGTACGTGCTCTGACCTGTAGAGGGCACCTTAGGGTTTGATTCACAGCAAGCTATTCCGCCAAGGGAAGTTAACGAGCGCGGCCCCCATGAAGGTTTCCCGGCTTGGAAGCGGATTTCTCGTTGATTAGGCAAGCCACGGTGTGCTCAGGGTATCCAACGATATGTGAAGTTTGGGCCGTTGTGAGTTAGGTCTTACACATGTCCATGCCTTGTGTCAATACTGTATATGTGTGTGTGTGCGTGCGTGCGTGCGTGCGTGCGTGGGTGTGTGTGTGTGTGTGTGTGTGTGGGTCTGAGTGCGTGTTTGTGTGTTCCATCAATGACGGTTCAACTCCAGCCCTTTGGGTTGCAGAGTCGTACCCGTAAGATTGCACCCCACAAAAACTCGTGCCATACGAAAGTCCGTAACCCATGTGGCCCTAGGCTTGCCTCGTCCGAACGACCGGGGCCACCGCCTTTCGAGGCGATGGCTTCGGCGCCGGAGCTCGCGAAGTACCACGCCGCCATCAACGCGCACGGAAGGAAGAAGCAATGGGCGAAGGCCTTGGAGCTGCTGCAGGGACTTGATGCGCGCCTGAGGGCCAACATCGTCACCTACAATGCGGTCATCAACACAGTGGCTTTGCATATGAGCATCGCAGTTGGAAAAGTGTGTGGTGTTGGACATGTGAGTCATTTGAGCAACATTTGATGCGGGAGGGTGCTAGTTAGTCCCTTTGAGAAAATGACACGATTACCAAGTGCCGGCAATATTTGGTGTGGTGACTTTTCTGAGGGCTTTGCAAGCTTGCCATCATGTCAAAGGCCATTTGTCCACTTCCAGTTGTTGTTTTTCTTTTTTTTTGTTCGATATTTCCTTTTTGTTCTGTGCCCATTTGAAAGAAGACTTTAGACGTGTCTCTCCGCGGATTCCTTCGATCCATGCTTGGAGGTGAAGCGGGGCCCATGGACTCTGGCCGCCCAGCTCTGCGCCGAGCTGCAGGCACGACATCTGTAGCTCGGCATCCAAATTTTCAATGTGTTCGCTTTCATTAAAACGCCCCATCCCACAAGGGACTCCTCCATTGTTTTGGTTGGAACGCCCAACCTCTTTTCTTGGGCTCCGGCGTTTGGTCTTAGGGTGGAGGAGTTGGTGGTTTGGCGCATCGGCAGTTTTGCGCTTTCTAATTTGTTTGGTCTGGCCGTGTTGTGGCTTTGGGGGTGTCACTTGTCGCTGTTTTTTTTCCCCATTTGGCCAAATAGTGTTCCCGAATCAAACTAGTCATCCGAGTTTCCGTTGTTTGTTGAAAACTGTCGCGCCACATGTGTTGCTCACGCCCTGCGCTTGGCAGCGCGTTGGGTGGTCACATGTGGTGAGAACAAGTGAGCCACACTCAAAACCTAAGATGAGGACAGTTCCAGGCTTAAGTAGGTTCCGATATTATGATATCTGCCCGTTCAAATCTTCACATGATTGCGGGTAGACTCGTTAGGTTGAAGTAAGTTCCATTTGACTGACTAGTTCTTTAATCACTAGATAGCATTTGTGGCGGGGGCATGTTTTGTTACGGCCAAAGAGACAAATGCGCTTCTTGCGTTGAGGTGACAACTTCTGAGAGTTGCACTCTGCCCACACCCACCAGAGATGAAACTTAGGATCAACCACCACTTTTTTTCTGACAAATGGGCTCAACTGAAGCTGAAGTTGTATCAACCACCACTGAAACCGTCTTTCAGCCTGGCAACATAGGACCGCTGATGGCATCACCCGAAGCTCCGCGGTGGCCGCCCTGCGCGGCCGCTCGAGCGGCCGTTGGCAAGCAGCCTGCTTCTTGCTCAGCGGGGTGGATGGCATCCAAAAGGAGCGGACAGCTTTCTCAAACCAAAGGCACCGTGGGAAGTTTACACAAGTTTGCACTGCACACCTGGTTTCCCAAGAATTCGATTGTCTTAGGGAACATAAACAGGGTTTATGGCGTTTATGGCGGCGGTCATTGGCCCACCATTGTGCTTTGTTCAAGCTGGCTTTGCCAGTTTGAGCTCCATTGATAACCGTTTGAGCTTTCATGCATCACAGGAAAAGCATATTAATCTATGGTGCGGCACTTTGGTCAATCCAAGCGCTTGTGTTCCGCTGTCGCTTGCTGAAATTTCTTTGTTTTGCCGTGGGGGCTGGCGCTTGGACATCCTGAAGAGGACGCCATCATTTGCGGCTCTGCATTGTCAGTCTGTGAGAGCTACTGGCAGAGCGCTTCATTTTTGCTGGCCTTGATGCGGCGCAATGCCTTAAGGCTGGATGAGTTCATTGGGAGCGGAGCTATCAATGCTTGCCAAAAAGGACTGGTTGTGTTGCCAGGGGTGTCGTGCGTCGTGTTTGTATGTTTGTTTAACGCGTGATGTGTTTTGTTTCTTTCAACGGATTGCTTGCTTGTTTGCTTGTTTGCTAAATTGATTGAGCGGTTGCGATTTGGTTGTTTGTTTGTTGGGTTATGTGTGTGTGTATTTGTTGGTTGTGTCTTTGGTCGGTTGGTTTGCTGGCTGGCTGGAGGGCTTGTTTGCGTGTTGCTTATTTGCTTGATAGTTAGTTAGTTTGTTTTTTGTTTGTCGGTGTGTTTGTTTGTTTGTTTGTCTGTCTGTCTGTCTGGCTGGCCGGCCGGCTGGCTGGCTGGCTGTCTGTCTGTCTGTCTATCTCTTTGCTTCTGTATGGGTGTGTTCGTTTGTGTGTGTTCTTGGAACCATAATGTGAAGCTTGCTTGTTTGATTGTGTCGTCGTTTTGATTGAGTTGTGCTGTGTTGTTTGCTTGCTTGCCAAAACATGCTCACTTGCTTTCTTGCTTGCTCACTTGCTCGCTTGCTTTGCTTGCTTTGCTTGCTGCTTGCTTGGTTGCCTTGTTGCTAGCCCGCTTGCTTGATTGCTTGCTAGCTTGCTAGCTTGCTTGCTTGCTTGCTTGCTTGCGTGCTTGCATGCCTTCTTCCTTTCTTGCTTGCTTACCTTTTTGATTGCTTGCCTTTTTGTTTGCTGTTTGATTGCTTGTTTGTTTTGGTTGTTTCATTGTTGGTTTGGTTGGTTGGTTGGTTGGTTGGTTGGTTTGTTTGTTTGTTTGTTTGTTTGTTTGGCTGGTTGGTTGATTGGTTGCTGTTTGTTCTTTGCTTACTTGCTCGCTCGTTTGCTTGCGTGGTGTTTGTTTTGCGTATACTTGGTTGGTTGTTAGCGTGTTTGCATTGGATCTTGTCAAACTTGTGTACCTTGTTGTGTGCTTGATTGTTTCCTGTTGTTATTGTTCTGTTTGCTTGTGTGCCCGGTTTGATGTTTGTATTGTGATGTGTGTTTTGCTTTGCTTGGCTTGGCTTGCTTGACATGGCTTGCTTGACTTGGCTTGCTTGGCATTCTTGTTCTGCTTGCTTGTTGTGATTATTGTTTTTGCTTGCTTGCTGTTGTGATTGCATTGCTTGAGCTGATTCTTGTGTTTTGTTGGTTGTTTATCGGTTTGTCTTCAGCAAAACGTTTGTTGTGTTGTGTCTTTTTTGTTATTATTATTATTATTATTATTTATTGTTATTGCTTGTTGTGCTTGCTTGTTGTGCTTGATTGTTGTGCTGTCTTGTTGTGTTTGCTTGTTGTTTTGCTCACGACATGTATTGTGTTTGTTCGACTGTGTGTTGATGTATTTGTACTTAACTGTTCGTCGGCTTGCTGCTTGACAAGTTACCACACACTTGCCAGGAGGACAGTGGCAGAGGTCCCTCGGGGTGCTCGAGGAGTTTCATGTCCAGCGCGTGGGCAATGTGGTGATGTACAATGC